CGAGTTATAACAAACACTATAACGAACGAACGTTAACTTCAACAATACCCTGTTACTGCAGTTCAATTACTCACTGACTACACACACATTACATTCCCCTCTTTTATATACCAGCGTACCCTATTTCTAGTAAGAACTTGAACATTCGCCAAAGTACATGATAGTTCTAGAAACGTTGCGTCACGGTGGTCATGTGACTCGCTGACGCAACAATATTTTCTAGGTGCTTTTTGTGAAATGATGGATTTGTTGGCATGTGACCAATTTATAAATGTCATAACTGAAGAGGATACGAGAATTAGGATGAAGAAAAGTACATGTACATCTTTAAAGGAAGCTCTGCAGTTGATGATGGATCTTGAATCCATTAAAGTTGCAAATAAATTAAAAAAGCACATCTAGATGTTTTGGGTATGGGATTATCAGATCCTCTAGTATTAAAACATTAACTCGCCCTAGCAACAGTCTAGAAGAATGAAATAATTAATTAATCAGCTAATTACACAGAATGGAAGAACTAGACCAAAAGAAAATAGATGTTTCAAGGGTAACTTGAATGGACATATTGCGAGGAACTATAGATTAAAGCCTGTATGGAATAAGAACTCCTCCCAAAGGATGCTAGAGAGAGAAGAAACTGTTATAATTGTGGGAGATATGGCTGTTACAGCAACAATTGCAAGTAATCAATAACTGTTATTAAGCCAAGTAGAAAATACCCGGAGGATGTACCTTTGAGTCAACCAAATAAAAAAATACAACAAAAAACTAGCCATACATCAAAAAGATAAGAACTAGCCGGTTTTATGAGGTAAAGTTCAGCTGGAAATTAGGGAGGGTGGTCATCATATCACCAAGAAGTTAAATACTCGTACCAAAATTTATCAACAATAAATCTATATCTAGTGGCATACTGGAACTAAACAAATACTCCAGCATGTGCTGAGGAAATGGTGGTTGGAAGAGGTCTCACAGATCTGAAGAATAATGAAAAGGCTTAAATCAGCTGGAAATAAAATGAAAGGTCACTATAATATCAATGCTAATAAGACCAGATTTCATCAATGTGACATGTATGGCTAAACAATTTCTGTCACAAAGAAAAACAAACTTCAAAGTTAAGCAGATGTAGGGAAGGGTCATATGTTGTACTGAAATGAATTAATGGTGTGGTTTAGAGAATCTAGAAAGACAGGTGGTTCAAACCAAAAGTCATTCACCATGATCATTTTTGGAAGTACATCAGTGAGAGAACAGCCAATTGGTTAATTCTAGAAAAGAATGTGCAAGTGAAAAGTCAACCTGCCGAGGAGTCCAGGGGTTCAGTTGAGACTTCTTCCATGAAGAAGGAGCTGTCAGTGATGATAAGGAGCAAGAGGTCATCCCATCTGTATACTCTGGACCTCAGACGAGAATTTATAATCCAGGATGGGGCAGTGTTGTAAGCTAAATTTTCATTATTTTAATTTAGGTGTTTACTAGAGAGCATGTGTCATTAAGATTAAGTAACTTTGTAAAAGTAGTCCTAAAATGACTAGACTGCTCATGGCTGTTAATGATCAAAAGACTTTGTGAAACTATCTTGAAACAAGGCTACATTAAAACTATGAGAATCAGTAAAGCAACTAGTCACTTTTCAGTTTATTCGGTGATTAGAGAAGTATTCAGATCAATGCTAGTTATCACATATGTTCAGTTACTCGATCTTAGCCATGAAACTGTACAATTTACAAGTAAGTATATTTGTATGTTAGTCATGGTAATACTAGTATTAGCAGGTAAATTTATTTTGAAAGTTAAAAAGCTACTTGTGAAATAAGGCCTACAACTGTACAAGTGACAGTAACCTATAACAAGCATAAAAGAAGAAATAAATGAATCTGTTATCATTTTCTGAGCTGTACTTTTCCAAGTAATCCAAAACAAGCCATCTAATGATAGAATACATTACATCAATATATATTCTTTTTTTTTTTCGTGTTTATAAAGAACACATGCAAGAAAGCTAACAACTCATTTCATTTTTTTCATTTTTAGAGCATATATCTGATTACCAACCTGTATCATCTGTATCCACTTTTTCTGGTTCTGAACATGTAGACATTTGGCTATACCCTCTTCCAAAAGAATATTGCCTAATAAAAATATAATTCAAAAAAAAAAAAAAGAAGAGGAAAGGATCAACATCAAAGAGATAAATTCTATGATTTCAAAAACAATAAGCAGAACAAACCCAGTTAAAACTTTAATGATAATATAAAAAAAGGACACACATGTCAACATGGTGTATTTCACTTTACCGTTGTCCAAATCTTAAAAAAATTTTTATTATTAATTTATTTTTCAGTCCGTAGAGCTGTTTTTTTTTTGTTTGTATTTTAGCACAAAGCTACACAGTGGGCTATTTACGTTCTGTCCAATGCAGGCAATCGAACCCTGGATTTTAGTATTTCTCAAATCACATTTGAGATTTCTGGATTTCTCATATCAAATTAATCTCCTGTAAATCAAAGCATTAAATTATTTCGATGGTAAATCTTTGTGACAAAGAATCCTGTAAAATATTGTATGCTTAGGTAAATACTGGAAGATTAAAAAAAAATAACTTTCTGACAGAGCAAGGCAATATAATATATTTAAAAACCTATGGACAACCTAATATAAAATCACTTCAACTATAGTTATAATACAGCATGGTCCAAAAGTTAGTTGCCTCACACTTCACCCCCTTCTGTGTGGATAATATTTGGTTTACAGCATCATAAGTGATTGAACCTTTTTCAGTTTATGCTTCTTTCTTGTGCACTGTTCACATGTACTTAAATATTAACCTGCAGGAGATGAAGATTAAAAAGAATTTGTAACCAATCAATTTATGAAACACCCTGTATATTCTGGCTCTGCTACTTTGTGTATCATCATTTTTTTGTATACTCCTTTACTGATTAAATTACAATTTAAACTTCGTTTTCGCAAACATAGAGGATATAAAAACTTGAATTTTGAATACATAATTTCACCCATGTTTACTTTTTTATTTAATAATTTCAGTGTTATTTTTCATCAATATTATAAACCAAGCTTTTTAATAATATTTTGCAACTTTTACACAGTGTAATTAAAAGATGGCGCCAAGAGCAATAGGCTAACATTTCTTTTGAAATTTCATTGAAAAAAGCATTTAACTTTGGCTTAAAGTACATTTTAATTCCATTGTTTGCACCTGACAAAAATTCAAACTGAAAAAACATATATGCCATACTTCTTGCTATGAGACGTTTCTCCCGTATGTTTAAACCAGATAAAATATCAATGGTGCGGAAGTTATAAAATTTAGGCCTCAGGAGTGTATAATTTTGATTAAAGATTTCAATTGGGACTATACAGAAGTAGCTTTCACCGGCCCAGTTTATCAGCAAGCTATCTGTGTTATAATATATTATCATAATTTTGGTTAGATTGAAAAGTTATGCGACATTGTAAATAAAAAGGGTTACATCACGAAATACTGTAATATAGTCATAATTTACATGCGAAACAGATAACACGCCTCTGTGCAGAGTTTAAACGATTTATGGATATATATCCCTACTTGTCTTTATAAAATGAAACATTATTTCTTATTGTATTTGTTTGTTTCCTTTTATTAGCTATATTTTTGTGCGCCAGCAATATCAAGTGTGGAGCGCGCGTATACCCGATTCGATTTTATTATTCATCAGGAGCTCTACCGATCTACCCCCAAATGTAATTATATGTCCAAAGTAGCGCATCGTCCGTTATATATATATCATACACACTAGTATCTTATTCGGTACAAGAAGGGAATCACTGGTTCACAGACGGAAGAGTTATGTGAAAGAATTAGAGGGATAAGGTTCGTCATTTTTTATGTATGCTTGTCTGGAAAAGTCAGTTACTTAGATGAATATTCGTTGAAATAGTGAAATTCTGATTAACTCCATAAATACGTATATAGCGATTTCGGCAGCTTTATAAGTACAATAAGCTTTAGTTGTGCTCAGCCAACATTATGCAATATTCATTGTTATTATTGAAAAATTTTAAAGGTGGTTTTAAACGGGCGATTTTTATGGCCGCCATTTTGTTTCATCACGATTCCTTCTATCAAGTACTACGTACTTAATGATAATACACTGTTTTGGCCGTTTCGATAGTTCCATCGTGGATGCAATATTTCCAAGTGCAGGAAAATGGTGCATTCATGACATTTAACACAACTGTGCACTAATCGAAAATAACACGTCACAAACAAGTCAGGACGATAGACAACTCGCGCCTCGATCTCAGTTTAATATAACAAAATAATATAACACTATCTATAACCAGATTAAAATGATACAATCGTCTTAAACCCTGGTAAAGGACTGGCAAAACAATAATTAAAAGATCAATGATGTATGTATAGACATGTCTTGTCGGTATTTTATATGAAAAGAACCAAATATACGAGCTTTTTTCTCGGGCATTATGGGTAATTTCAACACTATATATATATATATATATATTTATTCAAGTTCCACAAGTCATGTTTCTACCACTTGTTTTTATTTACTACTTTTATATCACAATACTGACATCAATACAACCTCTGATACTAGTTAACTGACGACAAAGCTTGTCTAAACAACCCAGCTTTGAAACTGAACCTATGTTGGTGTCAATCACGTGGTTAAAGTTAGAAAGTTGGAATGAAACGGGTCTTTCAAATATCTTGGGAAATGAATACATTGGGAACATAAGGTCAAGCCAGGGGTCAACTATCTGGCCAACATATATGGTCATAAGTTTAACTTGATGAACGTGTGTGAACTGCTTTCTTTCTTCTTTTTTTTTAAACTTAATTTAAATCAGTGTTTTTTGCTCTTACTTATATTTCCCTTCAACACCAAGGCCATAAGAGGGCGAAATTCATGTTTGATTAGTTTCCAAAATTTATGTGAAGAGTATTGTTAAATCATCTACCTGTATAGATGTATATTCAACTACATGAACAGCACATATACTTAACGTTTTTTGTAATATTTAGACTGTGTGTGCAATGCGACTACACAAGCTTTTTTTCACTCTCTCCCCTTTCTCTAAGGGCGGATTTAGAGATATTTTACAGACTGTAATTCGGTTTCCCAGTGGTGGTCCGGGCGCAGATAGCCCATTGTGTTGCTTAGCACTAAAACAAACTTATTAAAACTGTAAATAGATTTGTCATAGAGTAGTAATTAACGGACATAGATAAACTGAGGTAATGCAGTGATAACATATTCCAGTTTTTTTTATACGTGTGTATAAAAGTAAAATTTTGTGACACCAAAATCCAAAGACGTTCAACTTCAAACAGGTTGTGCTTCTCGTCTCACTAATTAACATAATTCGTGCAATATAAAATGTTATTTGTATACCTACTAACATGCCTAACTATCTAGTAGACACAATTTAAATAAAACCAAATTTAATGAGAGTTTTGAGAGAATGCGGGATTATTATTCACTGATACAATCTTCTCTTTTCTCTCAAAATCAAAATACTGAACAAGAAATTTGAAGTAAATGGAATTTCTGGCAAGAATCATGATTTGATTGATTTGTTCCTTTGTCGAATTTTGCGCAAAGTTAAACGTGGGCTTCCTGCGTTAACGTTCCTTAATTTAGAAGTGTAAGACCCACAGCCTATGACAGGTCCCAATTTGATTGAAATATGTTCTTCAGCTAGATGACGTTTTGATATCCACTTTATGTTTTACATTCCCGATAACGTGTGTGTAATAATTATTTAACTTTCAATCTACTGGAAATAAAATACGATTGATAAAACACACACAAATATATGTTTAGTGTATATATTTGTAATGAAGTAAAAATAAACAAAATGGATCTTTTCCTTGGCAGGTAGCTCTTGCCCATATGAATTTATACATTCGTATTTTCGTGTATGTGGATCGTGAAAATTAAAAATGTTCAAAGTTACATATTCAACAGAAAAACTATATATATATATCAAACCAATTAGTTTGAAGTTAAGCACAAAGCTACACAATAGGCTATCTGCGCTCTGCTCACCACGGGTATCGAAACTCGGATTCTAGCGTTATAAGTAGGCAGACATACCGCTGTGCTACTGGGGAGGGGCTATCAAACAAAGAAAGGCGTGGTGTGATCAAATCAGAAAATACGAAGAAGTGTTTTGTTTGTTTGTTTGTAATTAAGCAGAAAGCTACACAATGGGCTATCTGTGCTCTGCCCACCATGGGTATCGAAACTCGGATTCTAACGTTAAGTCCGCAGACATACCGCTGTGCCACTGGGGGCCGAAGAAGTGGTTAAAATCTTTGTAAAGGAAAAAATAATTAAGCGGTCAATGACAAAGGTCGATGATCACAATACTGATCACTTGAGTCTCTTTTTCCTTACAGAGGTTTTAACATTTTGTTTGTATTTCAACTCAACTGACATAAGAATAAATATGCTTATAACACTGGCAAATAGATGGCGCTACATAAGTGCTGACCTGCATGTTATGACGCCATTCTAGCTGTTCATATATTATTACGTTGTAAGAGAAACAAGCTATCAGACAGAACTAAAAATTTTGTCGTTATCAGTGGAATTACTTAAATCATCATTCAATCAATATGTTTGTGGAATTTCATGTATGATTAACCACTTAAATATAATATAAATCTACCAGTCCGTTGCATCGAATAATAATAACAGATAATTAATGTACTTGGCCGTTGAAAGCCAGACGATCCACTACCGCACTGGATTGTCGACAGAGGTAAACAGGCCGACGTGACTTGAAGCACGTATACTCGGTAATCACAGTTGATTATGTCAACTGATATTTCTTTAATCAATCACGACACGAGAATCAAGTATGTATGTATGTTTGTCTGTATATATATTTTAAACGTATTGCTGAATGCTGCTTTCATGTGAAGAGAACAGATCAGACGGTTCTTATCTATATCAGTCTCTGACCTTACTGTTTTGTAGACGTTTAAAAAAACTAGACATTATTTAAAAAGCCACTTTTAAAACTTTTTCCAATCACACAATAAATACAAAACAGTCTTTCCACCAGAAAATAATGGCCACTAAACTTAATAATTTTCCAGGACATTACTTTAAATGTGAGAGCTTATACATATAACAATAAAAATCTGGTTTTGACACTTGCAGTGGGCATAGGGCAGATCACTCATTGTGTACCTTTGTACTGAACAAAAACATGCAAAATGCTTTTAATGGTTTATAGAGGTTGAGTACGTTATATTAAAACGAATTTGGTGTTTTACGTCGTTAGAGTCCACGTCTAGCCATACTCTATCTAAAGACTGTGCATCTTTACAGTAGCCCTGCAGAATAGTTTCCATCGCAAACGGCTCCGTCGTAAGGTTGTCATGTCCAAAAGCACACTACTCCTCCCTGCCAGCTTTCCATAATTTATCTAATATACGAGGAAGATGGTTTCTCAGCGCCCATTTCAGCAGTCTGATCACACAGAAATATCTAGGCGTGAGAAATAGCAAGAATACAAATTTCATTCTCCAGCTGGTTCAGGTATTTAATAGTTCAACAGAAAGAAAGACTGGAAGCCTCATCTTTGTGAAGTTATACCCTATTGACCTCTTTTCCAGACAAAGATTCTTTTTGATTATGTTATGTATTATAACTTGAGACATGTGGACGGTTTTTGCCACTGACCTTCGCGTTCGTGAATCATTACCTGTAACAAGACATCGCACTTTGCTTACCACAGCTTGGTTATGACTTGTGCAAGTCTCCTTCTGGATGGTCTTTGTGACCCAAGTTGATCCACATTCCTTTGTTTGCCAATGACGTTAAACATAAAGGATATTCCCGTGTTGAAAACTCTAAATCACGATCTGAACACATTTTTGTGGTCGGAGTGTACGAATATCTTACGTCGGAAAGAGCTGTTACATACCTTTCCCATATGCGACTAATTTTCATACCTACGTGACGCCAAACAATGTCAAAATATAGTTCTGATACATTCCGTCCTACCGCGACTTTACATCGGCTGAGTTTGTCACATAATTTGATGATCTGCATGTTAAAAAATAGCATTAATATAACTTAAGGAACCCTCTGTATGTATGTATAATTATGATAAAATCCTATTTCTATAAAACGCCACTTAATCATAATTTTTCTTTCCACCAGCTGTTTCCATACCATAATAGATTCTTCATCTCAGCACATATCACTTCAAAGGATAAACTACTGTCATGACACGACTACGTAAACTACATAAAAAGAGACTTAAGTGTTGGCCAATTAAACCACTAATCTCAATTTATTGGGCAGCCTGCAGTTGGTTACAAAGAAACGGTAAAGCTTATATCAGGTACATAACCGTGTATTGTCAGTGACTGAACCACTACTAACTTCTTGAATGCGTGGTATACAAATATATTAAGTACGAAACACCAGGAAAGGGTTGAGACGTAGTAGCTCGTTACTCTACAACTTGCCCCAAAGAAAGGGAAATACTGGACTAAATTGTGTGCATTATTTGTTTCTTTATAATTAAGCATAAAGCTACACAATGGGCTATCTGTGCTTTGCCCACCACGGGTATCGAAACCCGGATTCTAGAGTTGTAAGTCCGCAGATATACAGCTGTGCCACCGGGGGGCGAAATTGTGTGCAATTCATACACTTAAAGGTATTAAACAAGTTTTGTTTTGTTTGTTTTTCTTAAGCCTTTTTAAAAACAAAGAAACAACTGGAATTAAACAAGCTCCAATAAACACTTTCCCGTGGAGACAAAACACACTCGTGGTTATATTGCTGTGTGCTGGTTAGTTTTAAATACGTATTTATTAGCATTTCAAAGGGGGGGGGAGCTTACTTTGAAATGTATTATCAAGCTTACCGTTGAACCACTGGGGAGGGGATTTCTCATTTTGTATTATTTTTACTAGTACCATTACAAGATTAACATGGTCGGGGTACAATTATGTGAGGGTTGGGGTTGTTTTTTGTTGTTAAGCACAAATCTACACAACAGGCTATCAGTAATCTGCTCAGTGCAGGTATCGAAACCCGATTTGTAGCATCATACTTGTTTTGAATTTCGAGCAAAGCTACACGAGGGCTATCTGCGCTAGTCGTCCCTAATTTGGCAGTGAAAGACTACAGGGAAGGCAGCTAGTCAACACCACCAACTGTCAACTCTTGAGCTATTCTTTTACCAACGAATAGTAGGATTGACCGTCACGTTATAACGCCTCCATGGCTAGAATGTTTGGTGAAATAGGGATTCGAACCCGCAGATTGCGAGTCTAGCGTCCTAACCACCTGGCCATGCTAGGCCTTTTAAGGTTGTAAACCACCAGACTTACTGCTGGTGTCAATATTACATCTGCTTCATAGTTACATCTAAACTGAACCAATACATTGCGGGTATTTTACTTGCTGATAAACATAAAGTATAAAATTAATTGGTAAGGATTCTAATGATATTTATATGTTAAAAAGTGATTAATTTTTGGCCATTTTAATGTTCAACATACCAAACAGGAATTTGATACGAGATATTGTATTAAAAAAGGAAACTTATAATTAAAAGTTCTTTGTTCTCTCTATATAAAACTTAAAAAGTTTTATGCTCTAACACATCTCGGGTTGAAACACACCTATTTTAATGTCCGAAAAAGGTACATTATAGCAGTTGCTTTCGTTAGGTTATGTCAATAGTTAGTTTGAAACACCTGTATTTCATATCATCTTCTTACACGTGAAGAATCGTTGTCGTATGTTTGATGAGAGGTTTTAAAAAAGTTTAAATTACTTTCTTTTTGTCGTGTAGTTAGTAGAGTCCAAGGTTTCTCGAGCCCCCCCCCCCCCAAATCTCTTGTTGCGATCTTAGTAGCATACTTTCGTAGAGTCTCTAATAGAATGTTTGGTTTTTTATTTATAAGAAAATTTTGCGAAATCTAATAAGCTCACTTTCCATTTCAAATACAGTTTCAACGTAATTTAAGATATTACGGGAATCTTGAATGATGAATCATTTTGGATTTAAGGAAGACTAGGTTCTGCGCATTTTCACAGTTTCGTTTATTACTCGTCACTGTATATTTACTTAAGTTAGTTTTCTTGCCTAAGTTGAAGAGGCAGAACAAATTGATTCAGTTTAAGTACAACTAATTACAATTACCAACAAACAGCCACAAAAAATTATGATACACATAAATTATGATTTTTTATGTGTTTTGGCAAAATAGTACTTGAATTGAACACATACATTTTTCGTTTTTTTCTTCTTCTCTTAATGCAGATTGTACATGTCTACTAACAGATGCACAAATACAGCATAATGCGAGGTGAATCTATACGAAGAAGTTCAAAGTGTCACTCCTGTTTGAATGTTCATAAGCTAATATATTATTGTTTCTGATGATGATGACAAATGAAGACAGGCAACAGCATCAGATCAGGATCAGGATCAGATCTAACATAAGAGCTTCCAAACAGGGAGGTAAAGCAAGCATAACAGCTTAAGATCATGGAGGTCAATCTAGCATATCAACATCAGATCAGGGAGGTCAAGTTAGCATAACTGCTTCAGATCAGAGAGGTCGAGCTAGCATAACAGATTCAGATTAAGGAGGTCAAGCTAGCATAACTGCTTCAGATCAGAGAGGTTAAGCTAGCATAAGAGTTTTAGATCAGGGAGGTCAAGCTAGCATAAGAGTTTCAGATCAGGGAGGTCAAACTAGCATAACAGCCTCAGATCAGGGAGGTCAAGCTAGCTTAACAGTGTCAAATGAGAGAGGTAAAGCTAAAACGAGTACAACTAATGACAGGTGGTTCTACCTTGCCACATTTTTGTGAAGTATAGGGCTGTTATTTATTATAATTTTTTATTAGCTATGTCAAATTTTTATGTTGAGTCTTTACTCAAATGTTATTTATGTGTGACACCAGTATTTGGAAATTATGTACAGTTTACCTCCCAAAATGTTTAGTGACCAAGTAAAACTTCACTATAAAGACCAACTCTGTCTTGGATACATGATTACTTTGGAGACAATGAAATCTTTAAGCTTTAATATTAAATCTAAAGGCTATGAAAGAATAACTTTTTACTTGCACTGTACTTTAGTTGCATAAATTTAAGTATATTCAAGGTTATAGTGTAATAAATGGCTCATGATTTTGACCCAATTAAGATCAACATTTCAAATACACGTAAATTATAAAGATGACACTTTAGACAACAGAAAATAATTACAGAAATCAATATCAGCAGTAAATATTTTTAAGTGCATAATGGATATTATATTCAATAAAACAGCTGTCCCTCTACAAGATTTTTGACAGTATTCTTTTACCTGTGGAATAACAAGTACTTTTTATATTCTGTGTACATCCAAGGTTCATCTGACTGCACAAGCTTTCATAATGACCTATCCACTTAAGATAAGTTTAAAAATCACAAAACATTTTTTAACCCACTGGGTAGGAATAAAAAGCTCAAGATTTATAAAATTTAATTTATCGTCAAACAGACTAAGGATGGAGGTAAAGCATTTTAAAATAATTTGCGTATGGAATGAAATGAAACTTACCAATACTGAGAGAGAAGATAAATGAATACTTGATAATACACAAAGCATTTAAGAACATCTGCTAAGTACCTCTTTACATGACATAATCTAGATCACAAAAACATGCATGATTTCTTTCATACCTTTCAATTTTTCTCAGCTGTTTATTAAGTTCACTTTGTTCATTTATCAGCTGCATTTGTTGTGTTGAGATCTGTTCAAGCTGAGGTTGGATTTGATTGGCTCCAGTGTAATCCTGAATCTCCCGAGCCTGCTGCAGTCGAATCTTCATTTCTTCTTGCTGATGACCTAAAGTCTTCAGCTGTTCAGCTATGAACTCTAATCTGTCCTGAAATTGTTTGTATTTAAAAAGTATTTATTTTTTACCTTTCCTTGAGTATTAATGGGGTTATTAGACTAATTTTCTCATTCCATATAATGACATCACAGCTGAACTAGCCTCATAATCGTTTTCTTTAAACTTTAATATATTCAACTACATTCATATTTCCACAGAATATTATCTTGAAACTAAGAAACTTAATAATAACTAATAATTTGAAAAAAAATTAATTTTTTCATTAGTTTGGAGAAGAGTGAGAAATATATAACTGTTCCTCAGTGTTGACAAATTAAACTGATAAATGTTCTCTTTAAGTAGGCATGGGCCTACCATTATAATTCTTGTGTATTTGTAAAAAAATATTACAGTGTTTTTCCATTGTAAAGTTAGATTTTGAAAGTGAAATGAGAATCAAATTTTGTTTCATAATTTGTTAAGAACATGATATTAAGAATGAATATTTGACAACAAAGTTTTCCTTCTCTCTAAAATTTGCATAAGCCCTATGAGGTTTTTAACTTATTGAAAATTTATATGACAATATTCTACTGAGCTTTGCATATACTTAAGTTTTCAATGTTATTCTATGAAATTTATATTTTCATTATGAAATGAATATTGCAAGATTATTCATTTTAATTATCACTAAAACACAGCGATAATCTCTGAGACATTAAATACTGTAAAGTGTGGAAGAAGGCAAAGGCATCATTAATTTGTCAAAGTAACGAGACCTTCATGTCAAATGTTTTATAAACTCCAACAATAGAAAAAAACATACCGTGGTGTATTTGTACTTCCAATAACTAAACAACTTTGTTTTATTTCTAATAAGTAAAAATATCAATGACAGCTGCCCCTCTGTTTATGACTGAATAATGCATTTAAAAAAATTATGAAGATTTTACTGATATGCAAATGCATATGATGATTGCAGTCAAACGTTCACTGTTGCTTTGTTCACAAATTTTTGGTGAGAAAATAGTTTTTCCTAAAAGTACAATTTAAACTTTGGAGACAAAAATTCCATAAAGCAGTACCACTTCCAGTCTGATGAATCCATTCATTACAGCAATGCATTTAGTAGTGAAAAAAATATATACTGACATCATTCACAACTAGATTTTTCTTTGTTTCAAAATATTTCAAATCCAATATAAGGCATACTGGATTATTTGAAATGAAAAAATTAGCTTATGAAAGATAATACAGAAATATCTTCCCAGGTTTCAAAAGTCAGGTTCAATCAGAAAGATAATATTTCCCACTCCAGTGTAACCTCTCACAAGAACACCTTACCTGACGTTTCTTTCGTTCTTCTTCAAGTTGAGCTTTGTCTGTTATACTGTTAGGGCTTGGATCAAGCCTAGGGTGTTTGCAATTTTCCTCATCAAAAGACCTGTTATAGCTCTGCGACCTGTAAGTATCATCCAAACTGGTCATTATGTTCTAGCTGCCGAATAGAAGGCCCATCAAGTTTACTTCACAATTCCAAACGTCAAGATACATTACTTGAATTTCTGAATGGAATGTTGATTCACACAAAATTAAAACATCTCACGCGCGTAATTTAATAAATCAAAAACCTTCTGAATTCTTCACGAAAGAAGTTTAAATGAACTGATAACAGTAAAGAAAATAAACAAAAAAACTTTTATCAAACAAGTATGTTTTCTGTCAGGAGTATTATATTAAGAAATTAAAAGACATTCCTATGTGAGTTAATTAGCAAAAATATGCAAAGCTAGGTTTAAAAAGTGATTATATAAATGGGGACACGAGCCAACCTTGCCACTATTTTGATCCATACCACATGACCCATTTGACCAATGCAAAGGCACCATGCTATACGCGATATTGAATACAACTTTCATGTATTTTGCTACTGACTTCCTCGGAAGATGGGTGGTTATGTAATTTCCTAGAGGAGGATGAAAGGGGGGGTACATAACTTCTTCTACCAAATTTATTCAAACTTGTTTTAGCCATGAAGATACAATAATTTGTAACACCAGACAAAACCTACTTTATATGCATAGATAAAGTTGTTTTATAGACTGACTGGATCAGATAAATAAGTCAGTTGTTTTTTAATACATTAATCATGTATCTTAAGTGTCTTTGTTTACTATACATGGTTACTGTGTAAATGATACAAATTACTCTTCATTAATTCTCTCCTTTCCTTCATACAAGGTCAGAAGAATTTGCTTTTTTTGGTGAAATAAGATCAACTGGCTATAACAACAGCTATCATTCCAGGAAATTAACTAAAAATACTAGATCCAAGAAAAACAGCACATTTGTTATTTTCTCATGATAACACTTATATAAAGTAACCTAAGACTAAAACTGAATAAATATCACAATATCACATAAAGGATATTTTGTGTATAAATCAAGGTAGGAAGGGAGGTTTTTAAATAAGTTCATATCATCATGAACTTCTCATGTTCTACCCAATTTTGTGACACCATAGGGTCTGTCCTCATTTTGGAAGTTATGAGAAAAACTGAGGTTGTAATAAATCCAAATGTTTATTTAGACATTCCAAAATAACATTAAAAGTTCATTACTGCCAACATGAAACAGTTATCATTTAACTAGGACTGAGTAATTCTGTGTTGGCTTTTACAGAAACAGGGATTTCAGATCAATGTTTTATGTCAACACTTGAAGTTTTGAACCATTAAGAACAAAAACAAGATATTATTGATGCAGGATGCTAAAGCATAACTACAAGAAATTTTTAAAAGCAGTTTCTCTTCCATAAGAACAATGGGATTAAGACAAATCTAACATAAAATGTCAATAACAGCAAGGGTATCCAACTGATGAATCAGTGTAATCTAATCATTAGTAGTTTCTGTTTTATGATTTTGCATACTCCTTGTTATAGTAAGATAATAATTTAGCTACATTAACTACAAAGTAAATTTTGTTTTTGTCCTGATCTACATAGGGAGCTTGCTTTGATCAGAAGATAACAATAATTACCACTTAAAGATCCAGAACGACTTCATTTTTTCACAAAACAGATATAATGAACTAGCTGTGGAAACCTACTAAACACAATATTCACCAAATAAAATATCATTTTTCACTTTCACTGGTTTTTTTTTCATCTCTATCTTAATCCTATCGAGTTTGGGGTCAGCCATTTTTTTTTGTAAGCCAAGAATTTTTACACCCAGATGATTGGCCCAGTCAGCAACCATAAAGGACGAGCATGTTGCGACCCTAACATTGTGAGTTGAACACCCTAACCACCAGCCCACTTTTCACAGTGTATGTGATTAATGAGAGTCACACAGTAACTAACAGATTGCATGAGGAATAAGCATTATTTATACAAATCTTCATTATTAAATCTACTACACAAGTTACACAATGAGTATAAACCTAATATGAAGTTACACAGTGTATAGAGGAAAACTATGGGAGTTACGTAGTGTGCAAATATCTAGTATAGTGTATAAAAATCTGCTATAGTAATTACACACCACATATATATCTACTGTGGTTGTTACACAGCATGTATAAGTCTACTGTGGAAGTTACACATTGTATAAAAAATCCACTATGGAAGTTACACATTTTGTATAAATCTACTGTTGGAGTCAAACTGTGTGATAAATTTACTATGGGAGTTATACAGTGCATAAAAAATACAATACTGGAGTCATACAATAAGTATAAATATACTACAGCAGTTACACAGTGTGTATAAATTTACTACAAGAGTTACACAGTTACTGAATAATTTCTACAAGACTTAGAGCATCAAGATCTACTACATATATATTACACGATGTGTATGAATCTACAATAATAGTTATACAGTGTATATAATCTACTATAGGAATAATACAGGATGTATAAATCTACTGTAGGTGATAAACAGTTTATAAATTACATAAAGAGTTACAGGATGTATATACTCTACTTTACGAATAATACAGGATGTATATAATCTACTTTAGGAATAATACAGGATGTATAAATCTACTGTAGGTGATAAACAGAGTTTATAAATTACATAAGGAGTTACAGGATGTATATACTCTACTTTAGGAATAATACAGGATGTATATAATCTACTTTAGGAATAATACAGGATGTATATAATCTACTTGAGGAATAATACAGGATGTATAAATCTACTGTAGGTGATAAACAGAGTTTATAAATTACATAAGGAGTTACAGGAAAAGTATGAATCAACTAGAGGCAGAGATAGACTCCTACAGAAAATAGTAAGTGTATAAGGTTTCTCAACGCAGAGATAATTACTGTTTACAACAGACTTTCTTAAATAAATCTCACAAATACTGACCCCTTTCTTTCTCTCAAAAAGTTACACAGTAAATTATTCTGACTTTATTCTGAAACAATTAAATTTATATCTGTATTTTATCTTTATGGCAAAGCTACTCAGGCTATCTGGTATCATTCCTAATTTTAAGCTATTGATCAGAGGGAATGCAGCTAGTCAACAGAACCCACCATCCATGCTAAGAAATTAACTGTCACTCTTATAATAATACACCCACAGCTTCAAGATGCAGGAAATATTTTGGTATCTCACAGATTCGAACCCAGAGTTCTACCACAAAGCCAACCCACACCCCTAATAACAATTGAAGCTTGTGCTTAAAAAATATATATGTATATATATATATACAAAATTATAAGTGTGCTAAGCATTCTTCCATTGTAAATGTTTGTGACTTTGAATTGAATCTAATATCCAATTATTTGTTACTTTATGGTGATTCAACTTAAAACATATTAACTGGTATTGAGTAACAGCATCCATCTGAGAACTGCAGCATCCAACAAATTTACCTCCAATTAGTCTATAAGAATGTAAGGTTTCTTTTACCATATTATTGGCAATATTTTGTATTAAAGAGCACCAAAGCATCTTTAAAACTGTTCATCTTTCTATTCAGATCTAACACTCAGATGTTCTTTGCTTTTTCATTACTGTGTGTTTTAATATAAAGATATGCACTTCCAGCTGTTGTATTGAAAAGTTTTCATACAAAAATGTATAATTACCAACTGTTGGCATTTTAAGATAAATACAAAAATACAGTTCCCTGTTTTGTACATTTTAATATAAAAATATGTAGTTTTTTGCTCTCTATTACTGTAACAAAATATGTAATTATGAGTTGTATGTATTGTCATAGGCTATATATTAAATATTTTAATGTTTTGTTCACTAGATGGAGTCCTTTTACATTGGGTAATAATTGTATGAAGTCTACAAGTTTCATGAAAGTTTAGGCTTCTGTGGAATCTCGATTGTTCATGAAATAGAGTACAATATAAAAATGTCAGACAATGTGAACTTGAATTAATTAATAAGTTGTATGTAAGTTAAGAGTTTTAGTGAGTTATACATGAAAGTTAATGAATGTGTTTGTCAGTTACCAAGTTACTTAGTTATTCAGCGATTCAGTCAGTATGTCTATTATTAATCAATTAGAGAGGAAATTTTGCAAGTGACTTGAGCTCAGTATAAAAGTTAAGTATATCATTAGTTTCAGAATTCCTGTTGAAGTGTTGTTTGTGAAGTTAGGCCTACCAGTGAATGTAGCCTGTATAGATTGTGAATAAAGAAAAAATTAATTTGTTATCAGACTTTGCATTATTTTTTATTGTGTAATTCAAAAGAAATGGTCCAATGACAGAAGTTATGACCGTATTATAAATTCTGGGATGAAAATATGCAGGTTGTTATTTTTATATTGCAAAAATCTGCAATATATTATTGATTAAGTTATTCAGAGGTTTCAAGACCAAATACAAGTTTTGATTCAGGGTTCTAAAAAAACAACAACAACAACAACATACAAACACCAAATAAGATAGTTGGTACACTTGGAGGCATAGACATTTTATAAAATTTTAAAAAACAAACAAACAAAAACCAATTATCAAATACATGTGTGTGTTATAAAGAGGTGACCTATAATTAATTTATATATACATATATATATATATATACACACACACACACACATAAATTTGGAAATAAAAAAACAAAAATAATCAATTCAATCAACTACTAAATCCAGTGTTATAAAACAGACAAAACTGCAAACCAAGTTGTAAAACACTTCGTACATTATTTTAGTAAATCATTTGGCACAAGTATAATGCTTGTATGTTCAGAAAAAGAAGCATTCCAAAATATGTCTCATTTAAAAATTAGCTACAGAAAAGTTCTGTGCCAAAACAAATAATTAATAAAATAATAATCAAAATTTTGGCATTTATCATACTACAGGCCACTGAACATTTGTGCCATCAATGTACTGTCATCACATATAATTTAGTAAAGCCATGAGAGAAACAAATGCCAAAATTTACATAAATATCTATTCCTCCACTGACATTTACTTATTATACGTCAAATCTATGTATTCTAGACAATTTAATGAAGTGTTTTTATTCAATAAAATATTTTTTCTTCCTTTCGTCTCATGTTCTTTGACTTTAGTTAGTTTGTCATTAAGCACAAAGCTACGCAATCTATGCTGTACCTACCACAAGTCATGAAACCTGGTTTTTAGTGTTATAAAAGTCTTCAGACTTACTGCTGGTAAAGCATACGATCATGAAATAAAAACAATAAAGTGAAGCATCCAGTACAGATGTCAGATGAATGATAGTCCATAAGTACTGATTTCTATTAACCATTCAGGTCTAAAAGGTATTAGCTTTTGTATTTCAGCTTTACCAGTAGTTATAGCAGTTAAATTAGCTGTGTGTGTGTGTTCTTAGTCAGTTGGTCATACTCCAGAGAAAAACAAATTAAATGTGAGGAAATCAAATTACAGAAAGTTTTCTCATTTCACAAGGTGATCAATTTAATGGGAATGTATGGATCCTTATTTTAAAGGAAATATTTATTTTGTATGCATGTTATTGTAGAATACCTGAGTGTACCTAAAAACCAATTTCTCATAGTTTTATAAACAAGTAAGTTATTTAATAGTCTTTGGAAAATAAAAACAAAGTAGTTTAAATAGCTTTCAATTGTGCATGTTCAGTGGAATGGACAGCTTTTGTACTTACACTAATAAAGTTTAGCATAAAATGTTAATCATTATGTGACATCTCGTCCATTTAAATCTATTCAACATTTATTTCTTTTAGTTTCAATTTCCCATTCTTTTAAGTTACCCTTTTTTTTTTTCATTTAAGGACTGTACTAAGATAAATTAGGATAAAATGTAAAGTTCTACTAGAAATCTTATTTGGCACATCCATGAGTTTAGCTTCAATGAACCAATTTCTTTGAAAGTGTATTTGTTTGTTTGTTATGGATTTCGCGCAAAGCTACACGAGGTCTATCTGCGCTAGCCGTCCCTAATTTAGCAGTGTAAGACTAGAGGGAAGGCAGCTAGTCATCACCACCCACCGCCAACTCTTGGGCTACTCTTTTACCAACGAATAGTGGGATTGACCATCACATTATAACACCCCCACGGCTGAGAGGGCGAGCATGTTTGGTGGGACAGGGATTCGAACCCGCGACCCTCAGATTGCGAGTCGGGCGCCCTAACCACCTGGCCATGCCGGGCCTTTGACAGTGTATTTCCTGACATTGATATAGGATAACCCCCTGTCAAACTTTGATTGAAGTATTTGTACTGTATACAATTGTAGTAGTAGTACGAGTTTTAAAAAGTGACTTATTAGCAAGTGCTAGCGAGTTAACCTTTTAGCTCAGTTGATAGAGCACTTGCCTGGGGTGTGACAGGTTTTGCATTCAAATCTGAGCTGAGGAATATATATATATTGTGAAAAAATAACTTACCACATGGTGTAAAACTAAAAATAGTTTACTATTTATTTACATGGTCGATCCAAAATTATAACAAGTAAGGTGTCTTTGTTAGCTATCTTGTGATAACACAACAATACTTTGGAGTTTTAGTGACAAGATTCTCAAACATACAATTAAAAATTAAAAATATTCCCATCTAATCCTTGATATACTCCAATAAACCTTGTACTTAAATTATATTGTAGAAATTATATTAAGTTACATACATCAAACATATTATCTTTGTTTAAAATAATCTCCATAATAATGTTTTAAAAATACCATAAAACAATAACACAGCATATGGACAACCAGAGTTAACTTGGTACTTTAGATTTGTCACTGCACATCCACCCCCAATACAAAAAAGGTATAAATTAACCCCATCATTTATTTTTCAGGAGAACAGTAATTTCTCCCATAAGGTGCCATCCTCCAAAACTGCTGATGGCATTAAGCAGAAATCACCAGAAAGTCAGTGTCACTATTCAGAATACTGTGGTGCTTCACTCATGTATTATTAGTATTACCAAAAAAAAGACTAACTAAATTTACATTAAAACAGAAAGTTAGTACCTGGAATTACCTTTAAATACTGTTGTATAAAACAGTGCTTCATTTAAATAGTATTATTATTTAAAAAAAGGACTAACTAAATCTAGATTAAAACAGAAAGTTAGTACCTGGAATGGCCTTTAGAATACTGGTAGCCACTGTCTCGTACCACTTGCCGAGCCAGAGGGAAAAGTTCATCCCGGCGGGTCAGAAGGGTAGGGATATGTTTACAGATTTGAGCAGCAGCTTCATTTACAGATACCTGAATAAGAATAGATTGAGATACAAACAAATTTGACAATTGTGATGCATTATCTTTTAAACCTATCAAAAATGTATGCAATATATAATATAAAAGTCCGTCAAAAATGGTGGGAAACCATTGTTGAATGATTAAGGAAAATTATATAATTTAACTAAAACGAATTTGTCTGTACCTCCGACATGCATCTAGATTCACTTATTTCATCAGTCTCTAAGTAATTCTGTAATCACCACATTTTGTGTAAAAACTATGCAGAAAAATGAAATGTTATCATGAACAAAAGTACGTGTGCACCTTGAAAGAGACTTAAATAGCACTCGAGTCTTTTCACTGTATTCTAGGTCAGGAAGTAGAAAATATAGTGCTGAGATTCCAACACAAATTTTCAACTCTTTCAACTGTACAAAGAATATAAGACATTTGGTAGTAATAAATGTTTATCTTGCTTTATGTTTTAAGGCCAAGTAGGTAATATATGTGTTAAAATACCAAAATAATATTTATTAATTAACATTAAATTTATCACTTAAAACTTTATAAACACGGACTCTATAATGTTAGTAATAGTAGGCCTATTTGTAGTCTAATTTAATACATAAACATAATGTAAGGCTTAGCTGAAACACTACTTGGTAAA